CAGATAAAGCAATGAATTTTTTTATTGCCATTACCCTTTAAGGCGATTATATTCCGATTCTAAATGTGCAATTGGTTTATTATTTGTCTATGCAGACTATGCTTTATATTTTAGTGCTTATATATAACTATAAATATAGACATATAATTTTTGTTCAATCAGCTAAAAGTCGATAAAAGCAATTGCGCGAAAGAACCGACGACCGTAACGATTTTGAAATGCGATGTTGTATAATTTACACAAATACATGCGGTGAGCCGGTGAATGCTATTAAATCGCGCATCGATTATATCGGATTATATATAATATTATTGTTGGCAGATACATCACGCAAATACAGGATTAGCGCACCGCGTGCTGCCGCAATTTAACCGACCACAGGATATCAATGTAAAACCACTATCGAATAACGTATTTCTCAATAGACATTATTCTGTTAGACATCAGACATGATCGAGCATTTAATCGCCAGCAGAAATCTTGAATTCTTGATTTACCAACGAAATACCAGATGAAATTGCAGAATAATTGCTTCAGTTTTAATAAATTTTTTGTTACTTCTCATTTTAGTATTTTACCGACGATGAATTAACTAGTTTACCGACAAGCCTTCAATTTTCCGATTACTAGTGTAGCATGTTTATTATGTAACAAAATTAGTATAATTTCTAAAAGAGCATAGTTAAATCACAATCCGTTAGCAGTTTGGCGTTAGCTGTAAATGTCAAACTAAAGGTCTCTAATTATGAGAAAGATACTGCATAATGCAGTATACATAGGAAGTTCCATGCAAAGAAAGACCTTTCTGTATTTAATTCAGGACCTCTTTTAACATATAGACTGGGGAGGACATGACCCTCCCCCCCCCAGCCCTCTTACTGGCCCCTCCAGTCGGCAATTTTCCCCCCTCCCCCCAGTGAGGTCCCTAAGAACTACCTGCAGTAGGTGGTCAACCAGCAATTATGTATCAAAGTCAGAAAACGATGTTAACCGTTAAACGATGTTAGTCCACACCGGGCAAGCTGGAAAATATGTGTGGCCACGGTGGGAATGAACCTACGACCTTTGGAATACTACCCTCAATGCTTTGCCAACTGCGCTACGCGGTCAGGTCGGTTCGAGTAAGTGATATTTCGGAACAGAATCTAGTTCCTTCGACATCAATGCAATCTAGTAATCATGATTTTTTGTGTTGATGTGATGTACTCAGGTGAATATGATGCTTGTGATGTTCTCTTACTGTAATCCACACCGGGCAAGCTTGAAAAATATGCCTGGCCAGAGTGGGAATCGAACCTATGACCTTTGGAATTTTTTATTATTACTAGCCCAATGGTCTGCCAACTGAGCTATGCGGCTAGGTCGGTTCGAGTAAGTGATATTTCGGAACAGAATCTAGTTCGATGTGATGTACTTATAAGTAATAGAATAAAAAGAGGCGAATTAGCTATTAAAACGTCCGCCCGATGAGGGTCGTTTAGTAAAATTCCCTTAGGCGCCGCTCGATGAGGGTCATTTAGTGTGGGGAAGCTTGACAAATATGCCTTTGGAATCGAACCTACGACCGGTGTGGATATACACTCAGAGTAACATCACAAGCATCATACTATGATTCGCCTGCGTAGATCACATCAACACAGAAAAAAAGTCATGATTACTACTAGATTACATTGATATCGAAGGAACTAGATTCTGTTCCAAAATATCACTTACTCGAACCGACCTGACCGCGTAGCTCAGTTGGTAGAGCATTGGGCTAGTGTTCCAAAGGTCGTTGGTTCGATTCCCACCGTGGCCACGCATATTTTTCAAGCTTGCCCGGTGTGTATACAGCTATTTCAATTAAGATTGTCCCCCGAGCAAAGCGGAAAAGTCGAATACGAGCGCGAAAGGCTGCTGGGAATCGCTAATAAATGAATGCATTTATTAGCGATTCCCAGCAGCCTTTCGCGCTAATATTCGACTTTTCTGCTTTTGTTCGGGGGACAACCTTAATTGAAATAGCTGTATACACTCAGAGTAACATCACAACCATCATATTCACTTGAGTACATCACATCAACACAGAAAAAAATCATGATGTTAAGTTGCTAACATTTCTGAATTTGACCATCATCTGCACGTCTGTAACTGGCTATGAGTAATTCTAGTTTAGTTTTTCCAAGCAAATATACGCCAAAAAGACCACCCAATCTTGCTCTTCAGTGACACTGAGAAGACGAATGCGTCGATTTCAAGTACCTCAATACATGTAATGCAGCACTTTAGAATTTGATGCGTGGTGAATGATGATACTTTATAAAATAACATGTATAAAACGCGTGCTCTGATTGGTCGAAACCCGTGTTTGGATCAGGTCACAGAAGACTATCGTGTTGCTGTTATTTTATAAAACAATTACTTTGTGGTTTCCGTGTTGGATGGCCTGATCCAAACACTTGGGAATGTTGCTCGAGTTAAGAAAAGCGCGCATAATCACTCACCTTCGGCTCGTGTTTCGCGCGCTTTTCTTAACTCTCGCAGTATTCCCGCGTGTTTGGATCAGGCCATCCAAACACGGAAACCATAAAATAATTGTATAATACCACACACATGTTAATTACAGCATCATCACTAACATCACACCATGTTGCCTTATTGGGACTGGATTACATTTGGGAGACTGTGAAATTAATTGTGTCACTGTTTATAAGGTTAATTTCTTGTTGGAAAACTCCTCAAAATGCGGGGAAAAGCTTATCTGAGCTTCAAGAAATCCAAACGTTTTGGGAGTATGCCCCAGACCCCTCTGGAAGCTCGCACCTTCGGTGGTCGACTCGGTTGTCTCAGAATCCTAGTTACGGCCTGATCTGCTGCCCTATGACGTATACTTATTAGTTAAACCATGCAAATATATGCTGGTAGCTGCAGTACAGTGATACAGACTTGCCGACTGGAACTTCTCCCAGGTCCCCCGCTAAATATGTCCCCTCCAGTTACACGTCCTTAGAAGAGGCCCTGAATTTTAATTGCATCATTTGAATAGCTATTGAATATTATAACACAGAATTATTTGGCAACAGAAAAATAGAACGCTGGTATCTTTCGGCTTTCTGAAAGGGTGGGTCATAATTTTGCAAACATGCACCAATTCAAGGGTGGGCCACAAATTTTCGTGCAGGTATTAAGGGGTGGGCTACCAAAAGTGCAGACACCAAATATATGATTTTCCGAGAACACCCCCCCCCCCTTTTACTTTATGAGCGGTCCCTAAAGTGGAAAAGTTCGTGTTTTACCGCTTGCAGGAATTGCGCCGACCACCCTATCCCCCGATACAGACATTCACAAAATTCTGGGTAAAAAATCAGCTTCATTATATGTACGTAAAAGTTTCATATTTTTAAGTGTACTGTTTGTTTAGTCGGGCTTTTGCCTTTACTTGCACCCCTAAGAAGAAATATCGGCAAACGTTTGACTATCAAGGTTATTTACGACCAAAAAGGAGCATTTACGTGCAAAAACTGAAAAATAACGATCCAATTTTCAGCTCCCAGCCTGCGCGAACTACGCGCGTGTTTTATACCTAAAAGAAATCACTTTATTGAGTATTGGCCATCATGTTGGCCTCACCCAATGATAGGGCATTACTTGGTATTGGAGTTATCGTTGCGGTCTTTATAGAATTCGCTACAGTTTTAAGAACAACAAAAACATATTTCGAAGACACCATGTTTATACATAATTTAATTTTGTCGCAACAGAGTTGGGACAGGAACAGTCATATGAACACAGAGCTGATTCATCACGCTCAGGTGAGCTTCACGTACGGCAAATAGAGCTCATATATGAACACGCACTAAAAGAAATATTAATCGATTTTGAGTTCCAGTGTCCGCATGCATTTGTAGCATAGTTATACTCCGACGTTTTTTGAGCGACTATAAAATCAGGGTATCAATATGGTCCCGCTTACCCAGGATTCAATGAAGTGCGAAGTATTTTGAGCAATTGAAATAAGTCGCACTTGATGATCTAACAAAATGGCTAGCTTAATTGTTACAAATTGTATGAAATTCCATGTTTTAGACAAAATTTTAAAACAAATGTTGTTGAATGCTATTAATCGTCTTCTTCCACTACATAACTTCTGGCGCCGGCCTCCTTCCCTCCCCGAATATTCTGGATTTCCTGAAGCTCAGATAAGCTATTTCCAGCATTTTGAGCAGTGTTCACACAAGAAATTAACCTTATAAACAGTGACACAATTACTGCAATTTCACAATCTCCCAAATGTAATCCAGTCCCAAAACGGCAACATGCTGTGATGATGCGGTAATGAAAATGTGCGTAGTATAGTATTATCATTCACCACACTTCAAATTCTACAGCACTGTATTACATGTATTGGGGTACTTGAAATCGACGCATTCGTCTTCTCAGTGTCACTGAAGAGCAAGATAGGGTGGTCGCTTTGAAGTATCTTTGCTTGGAAAAACTAAACTAGATTTTCGTTTTAAAATGCCATTATTTCATTATTTCAGTCATGGTTTAGGTTTCTGGCGATGTTTAAATTTTAGTCCCCAAATTCTGGCGTACCGAGTCAACTGACTCGGTTGACTCATAGCTAGCTATACAGGCCTGCAGATGATGGTCAAATTCAGAAATTTTAACAACTTAACATCATTTCCTCACTTTGATATATAATTGCTGGTTGACCACCTACTACAGGTAGTTCTTAGGGACCTCACTTGGTGCGTGGGGGACAAAATGGTCGACTGGAGGAGGCAGTGAGAGGGCTGGGGGACATATCCCCACAGTCTATATATTAAAAGAGGCCCTGTTCAATTGCTCAAAATAATCCACACTTCACTGAATCTCGCTTATATTAAGCGGGATCATATAAACCGCCCTAAGTGCCACATAATTTTCTCAATGCACGTAGTAGAAGAACAGGCGCTTATTCAGTATTTTATTTTCAGTCAGTAATTATTATTAGTACAATAACCATACCAACTGACTATAGGAATACAACTAGAATAAAGCGGAAAATCACAATATTTATATTTTGGATCCTGTAGTGCAAAAAAATAAGTAAAAAGTTTATAGAATAAGGAATTATGACGAAGCCATATATAATTGGCCTTCCGTGTGCTTCACAAAATTAAATACAATCATGTCATGTTAACGTTCTAAGAGAGTTATGTATTTCGATCCAACTAAAACGTTTACCAAATGTTAATTCACGTGCTAATTGTAGAGTCACAGATTAAGATGGCAAATTCTGATCGTCAATATTAAGCTTACATAAGAACACAATTGCTCTTCTTTTTGCCGCTGGAGCGAGATCCAGTCAATGCTGGTCTAGATCTTGTTGCAAGACTACGCTGCAATGCCACGATTGGTTCGTCATAATAGGTACGCTTCCAAACTGGTTTATAAAACATAATTTTCGCGACCTGCACGTTCCTCCCAGCCATCATAACGCTTGCAGTAGCCACCATTGTTGTTTTTGCTGCTGAAAGCTCGACGAACTTGTTTGAAGATCCTTCCATCTCTTCAACTTGGAATATACACTTTCCGTTCAGGATATCTGGTGACATTAGCTTGCACAATTCCAGTAAATGTCCGGCCATTGTGTCGTTGAGTGCCCGGTAGTTGGAGTAGCTTGTGAATTCTCGTGGCAAATCTTCTAAATCTAAAACCTTAACAAACAGAATATTCTAGCTAGCCTTTATTTTGTTAATTGCTTACCCAATTATTAAGATTCAAACATAAAGATACAAAATACTAAACAAATAACATTGTTCTTTTTTGTGCTACACATTGTATATCTACACATTGTGTATGTATGCTACACATTGTAACAATTTTGAAACGGCACCCAATTTTACAAATCCGTTCAGATCGTGAAATATAGATTGTTTGGGTACCTATAATGTAGAATAACTCAAAAAATTTTCGTAAAGATAAATTTTCCAGAGCAGGGGGAGTCCTTTTTAGCAGCATTAAAAATAGCTTGCGCGCGAAATTTAAAACGTTAAAACGCAGTTTGAGTTCATGGGCGAGAAATTTGTTACGTGTTTTATTAATGGTCCAAATATCAGAAAATTTGCTTAATTTTACGTCCGTTAAATAGCTGCTGAAACGTTTTGCCACCAATGCATGGCTTTCACGCATGCGTTTACCTAATTTGCATATTGTTATTTTACATTTTTTGCTAAAGGTGAAAGCATCTACCATTACACTACTTATCACACATGCATATCTGTGGACAGACTGTGGTCAAGAATCATCTATTCCCCTGCTAGAAATTATTGGCATAAACCTATAAATACAGCTCGTTGAGAGTTGCATTCATTTCCCTATCTTAAATATGCACTTTGCGCTATATCATAAAATTATTTTTGTTACGACATTGTTCAGTAATGTGTTGATTTCAAAGCAACATGTGGATAACCCTGATTATAGTTGTTGAACCACGTTCGATTTAACTGCATGTGTATAAAGATCCGCGGTGTAATCTTCCTTTTATTTTGTGACAATTAATTTAAACAAAACAGGAAGCATATATTTCCCTTACCGTAGCCATACAGTTAAGATAATACATCAACTTGGCCTTGGGGTCGTTAGGAACAGTGACACTTTGTCCAAAGCTCTTCACTCCAACTTGATTTCTCTCAAACGCAAGGGCCATGTCTTTGGTGGGTTTATACACAATTATATATTAATATTCTTGTTGAAAACGAAAGTCGAGTAAAAGTGAGATAATTGGATTGGAATTATTTGTGTGGAACAAAACGTGCTTAAAAATGCTTGGGAAGGTTGAGAGAATTTATCAGATAATCGTTTGATTTTAATATTCAATTCGTCAAAGTGGCCAATGACCAAATGTATACAACATTAATAATTCGCATATAAGATAATTGTCCAATGAAAGTCGTTACATCATGTCACATGATCGCCATGTATACCTTAATATGCATAGATAGTTCGTCTATAGAAGATACATGTAATTTATATGGTATTACTTTAATATGCATGTCTATATTATGTCCATGTTAGACACATGAATTTTAGAAGTCATTCACCTACAAACCTCGTGATCTAGCTGGCTTTATATATATTACTCAGTTTGGCAACATTACGATCAGTATTAAAGAGCAAACATTATTTCCACTTGATTAACTTGTATTTCCTCTATACAACATGTATAAAATCGTTTTCATTGTGCAAAGAAATTCTAGCAGCAGGAATCCAAAGTTTTTTAATTTGCATACTTTCTGTGCGTGTATATAACTTTCTGTACATACTTTCTGTGCGTGTATTTCTGTGCGTGTATCACGGCTTTGGGTAGACAGTGTGTTTTCAGTTAGAAATTTCAAATGTTAGGTTAAAGAACAACTGATCAGTATCTTTTATAGAGTTCGAGTGGTTAATGGTATTAATTGCTTTTTGACGGAATATGTCGAACAACATATATTAATTGACTTCACGTTGCGAACATTTCTTGGTAATAGTCTTCCAAGAGTTACTTTGAATAAGAATGGTCAAGGGAAAATACTCTTGGAATTTGTTTAGTCTAATTATACAGTAGTAGAAAAAGACAAATGTGTACCATACTTAATTCTTACTTTGTTTGTCAACGCCCTATTTCCCGAAATGAATTAACCAGGTTATCGCCACACTATTTTAATGCGACTCCAATTAGATATATTAATTGAATAATGCCTATAATGAGTCAGAGTATTTAAAGAGAATTTCGTATCAGATGCATCGCTGTTTTGAAGGGAAACACACTTTTATTAGCTTAAAATTAATATTGTAAGATATTATAAACACATGACCTCATGGCGTACAACAAATTACAAAAGGCAATGAAGGTGTCATGCGTTTGTCATTACAAAAGAAGCTTACACCAATTCTAGTTGCTTATAATATAAATATAAAAATTAAGTATTTGCCAACATATCCATGCTAATCAGAACAAATCGAACCAATAATTGGCACTATGGCACAAGTATCGGAGGTGGAAGAGGAATATTTTTTAAAACATTATTTTGCTAATCCTACCTTTATAATTCATAATCCTATACCTTAAAAATCCTGTAGATAGAAGGAGGAACAAATATTCGTTCCAAATTTTGGGAGTGGGACAAATATTCATTCCAAAATCGACAATTGCTTTTATCCCAAGGATTGATTCCAGGAGCCATTGCATGTGTGTGTAAGATTATGGATTTGAAATTTCTTCCTTCGTACATTTTAAATTACTTGTGCATGATTGTCCTTGTGACTTTATAGGCTCCTGTTTTCTGATAGACCTCTTTTCCCCTGTTTCTGTATCAATCTCGAATTTGGTTTCTTCTTCTGCAGAGTGATGGAAATTCGCTTTACTACTTTTTCGTTTTGCGTACCGACTGCCATGTGGTTTGGACTTACTACACTTTCTGCCTATATGGTCCCGTATGCTGTGAACGACTGCCGAATCATTTATCTTTGATTCCATTTATTCTGCCTAGCAACTAGCGAGATCAAATCGTTGTGACTATTCCATGTTTTGTTTTGTCAGTGAGCTCATCTGGCGTTTGATTGCTCCGTAGCTTCTGGCGTCATCTGTGGCAGCGTTTAGAACGATAGTTTTTCATCACGAACTAATATAGAGATACCTGAATTCGACCGAAGGCGAACCAAGTAAAAACTGACCAGTCCCTTGGGTGAAATGGAAGAGGACTTATGTTTACCCAACAAATTATTTTATTTATTATCGTGTCAAATGCAGTAGAAGTATTTGAAAACATCGCAGAGATACACATGATATTATACAGCTGACTATTATTTGGAAATAACATGCTCCACAAAGAAAACGTCTTTATACTTAATGCAATCGTAATTAACATAATCCTAATTGATTATTATAATTATATTAAAGATCTAAAATTCGTCGTGTAAGACTTGCCCAAAACGAGTACTATAGCTACCAACAAAGATGTGATAATTTGTAGAGAACTCATCCACAGTTAGCTTGCTGTCCTACAAATATAGGTGAAACAAGGATCAAAAAACTAATATATGGATGTCCACTAGACATTATTTCTTCTTCAACTTTATTATCACTCCCGACCCGTTGTATACGTTGCGCTTATAGTTGGAAAGCAATACGAACAAATTGAAACTGTGACTCATGCATAGGTGACTCAGTCACTGATATGTTACATAATTGGATTAATAAGAAATTCCCAACGGCAAGAACACTAGTGAACTAGTTCACCTAATTTGTCTCAACACTACTTGCCAGATTCAAAATATTTTTGTAAAAATTGTATTAATTAACCACATAACTCATAAGACAACCTAGAGTAATTACCGTGTTTTCAAAATTAAACGGCAAATATATACTGCAGGCCAACACGAAGTACGCAACAACATTTACTGGAATCTCGCAGCTAGCGTTTTAAGCCACCAAAGCTTCTATTTTTATCCAGTTCAGCTCTATGATCTACTTTTGGATGTATGTTTTAAATTTCCTGTTCTAAATCCAGCGAAAAAGTCCTCGTTTATCTTATCAGTCTTATTTATATACCGTTCATTGTCACTTTTTCAGTGACTGTAGTCCACCTCCAGCAAGCTTGCGATGTCAAAGCCTGCGGTGTCAAAAAGTGTTACTTCGATGCGGTACGAGTCTGTTTTGTCTGATTTAGAATTTTTCTCAATGTTTTTAAACCTTTCTTCCTACATGTTTTAACCATCAAATTGTTTATTATACGCATTTAACGATTAGGGTTAGGGAAAGGTTTGAGGTTGGGATTGGCTTATTTTATAAAAATGCAACTCAGTATATAATCACTACAGTACATTGCCGGAGCACATTCTTCATTTAGTCTTGTGTTTCCGCGGTATGTTTGTCACTTTGTTACATACATGTGCAACAATCTAAGTCTCCCATACCCTAGCTTTATATTGCGCGAGCACTATGAGTATCCTACAGCGATTATACCCAATGAAAAGATTAAGCAACTTACTCCATTTTCGTCAGCATATCCCATGAGATGTATAGCTTCATCCTCAGCTTTATCATAACTTCTTGGTTTCTTCCAAATTTCAACTTCTGCCTACAGTTTGATGTGTTTTTAATAAATTTTTATTTTTTTCACAAAATATGAAATTATATCAAGAAACGTAATGTTTCCACTTTCCCCTATTAAATCTCGTAAACATACGTAAGGTCTATACATCTATTCCTGTATATTTTCTTTCGGTTCAATTTGCATATTAAAACCTTACCTCGAGATTCCGCAATTTATAACCTAGGCCTATGACTGTTGCTAATCCAGAAACATAATTTCCCTCCAGTCATCATGGCGCCATTTTGGGAGAATATTACGGAAAGGAATATTCTCTTAATAAATGTTGCTCTGAAATATTGTTGAAACACTGAGCAACCACAAAAATATGTGCTCGTCATAAGTCAGATGAAATATTTTAAAAGGTCTTGATCGCATACACACATACTGAATCCTCTACAAAGCAAATCTCTTTGTATCAATATCTGACAGTAGGCCTACCTTTGTTTTTTCCAGGTTCTATTTTATGATTCCAACTTACCATGTCCAATTTTCCATCGTGATTGAGATCTAGAATTTCATGAAAGTTCTTTGTATCCAGAGTGGCAAAGGCAGGTGCATGAATAGAATCTGCATACCAAATAATAGTGAAAAATTGTTTGATTGCTGGGAAAGAAACGAAAATATTTTGGTGTCCGAGAAAAGACTAAAATTGTTTTTAGATCTTATATATAGAAAATCTGTGAGGAATCCTTTAATCGAAAATTTATATCGAGCTATTCTACTCGAGCTATCGGGCTATAAATCAAGTTGAGAATGTGTGCAGTCGGAATAATGAATTTAATGCAAATTTTGAACACAGATTCATTTTCTAAGCTAATGAATTAAAATCAACCAGTCAATCAATCAATCAAGAAATTAAAAACTCACCAACGAAAAATATATTTAATTGTACTTCTAAAATTTTCACCTTAAAACTCAAGGATTATACAAATTAAGGTATCGATCCATCCTTTTTTAAACAATTTACACCTTTGTATAATTTATAAGTTTTTATAATAATTTAAATCAGAAAAATATCTTTTATTTATTTTATCTATACTATAGTCTGAATTAACCAGCATTCGAATTGGAAACCAGCAATGCAATTTTGGTAAGGGTATAGGCTTTTGAAATGAAGATTTGGGCACTATTATGCTAGAGCAATAAATACTTATCACATGCATTATTTATAGTATTGACAATAAATAATCTTTTTAATTATTAAGTGACAATGGCGTATTTTCCAAACAAGGCCATGAGAACACGAAAAATCCCATTTTCAGACAATTTCTCCTGACTCAAAAATAATGTTATGACTTATGTACACTTGAACAGTAATAGTAAACTGCAAGAGAAAACTGAAAACTCCTAATTGTGGTAATCAACTCCTAATTTAATTTTTAAATTTGTTGATAAAAACCGCACCAAAAATGCTATACAGCTAAATTTTTTAAATGCATTTCAGAAACTGGTTTTTCAACCAAAATAACATGATAACTTACGTGACCATTTTTGAAACAATTGGACGTAAAATAATGCTCGTACAAAGCTTGAATTTATACTGTTACGTTTAACTGCCTTTTTCGCTTGCACAATCGCTAATTTGTACAGAAATCACGTATATTGGCGAAATTCGTTGTTGTAGCGATGAAGAGTTGTAAAATCTGTTGTACTTCATCGGACAGGTTTGACTGACAGGTTTTCTTTGTTTGTGAATTATTTGCCGTTTACAGCGCTACATGCATGCAAATCCTTCAGAAACGACAAGGAATTCTGGGTTTTTAATCATATGATGAAAATCCGATTGAATGGTTTAATTTATATTCCAGCCGTGCATTTTACTGGTTTCTCCCATGCATTTCAAAATACGTTAAAAACTCGTAAAATACTCGGCATGATTATATGTCAAACTATTCAATATATATATATATATATATATATGTATACTGTCAAACCATGCATGTATAGTGTACACCTTACCTAAATATTCCGTCAAAGATAAAAATCCATCTCTGTCTTTATCATGTTCGTTAATTTCCACCTGCAGCCGAAAAATATAAGTGTTGTTTATCAATTTAACAATAACAGGGAAACTACATCAAGCGGTTCATGTAGTTCCTAATTTGATTGCAATTTTCCTCATTGTCTTTGCAAATTTGAAAAACTTCATTCCAGATCTCCAGAGAGACTTCCTTTTAGATTTTCCGAACTTCTTGTTCTGGATTATTAGCCAATTACAATGCTCAGAACAGAACAGGAAGTTAGGAACCTGTAACAGGAAGTTAAGAATCTGTAATAGGAAGTAAGGAACTTCTAACAGGAAGTGAGGAACATCTGTAATTGGCGTTTTAGGTAAATTAGCAAAGTTACAATCAATTTAGGAAGTCGAAAGAGGAGCGTTTGACATGGTTTACCTGTAATTCGTTTGTGCATTCATGTACATGTTCATTTACAACATGGCAAAATGTAGAAAACTTTAAACGGAAATGCGATTTCAAACAAAATATATTCGTTTCATACCACAGCAATGTATTCGCTCATTGCTCCGTGTTCTCTTGGGTGATGAAAGAATTCAAACTCCTCTCTTGTGAGATTTTTGTCTTGGTTTTTATCAGCATACTTCCACTTCAAACGATCATCTTCTATATATTTATTCAGGTTTTCTCTGCTCCACTTCTTCTCTTTTTCTGCAGAAATGAAAACGATACCTGAACTTTATCTGTAACGGGAAACTATTTCTCTCTTTCTCATTGTTTGATGATCATCCACTTTGGGATGTTCCATCCTTCAGAGTTGGATACATTTGAAGTTATTCACGCCAAAATGTAACTAATGTTAATTTAACACAAGTCGAATAATGATTGCACGACTGACGCCATCGAATGAATTGAATATATTAACTTAAAAACTCATTAATAATTCATGACGAAAATTAAAAAAAAATTAATGTTTAAATCAATGTTTGTAAATCAGATAAAGATTTGTCCTTATTTACGTAAACTTCAGCTTTGATTTTCTCGGCTTATAGACAATGTTTATTTTTAAAATTACGTCGCCAATGAACTCATAACATGGGTCGTTTTTTAAGTACGTCTCTCTCGCCCTCGGTCGAGTTTGTATATCAGATAAAGATCGGCTGCCCATGCATGTTTTAACTAGTACGTAATGCGAAGAAAACAAAATGGCCGACTCTAGTATTAAACTAAGACTAAAATAATGAATAGTGCTTTTCACACAATTTGATTGGTTGCTCAGCTTTGGTTATCCTTGCACTATTCACCTCCTGATCAAAACCAAAATGGCTTCCAGGTTTGTTCTGCTTAGCGTGGAGCAAATGTTTACCGAACGAAGTTGCATGCAGCTGCGTTCCTCCAAACGTGTGTCAGTTATAGCGGTATTTTTTAAAGCTATTTTTGAGGCATAAAATTACTAAAAGCCGTATGTAAATACAATACAACGGTAACTCCGAATAAAGTAAGCATTTTGATTCCACGTTTCGACTTTATTTAGTCATCATCAGGAATGGTTATATTACAAGTGCATGCGTTATATATACTCTACGTAATTTGATATATAATTAAAAGAAAACCGATAGTTCTCTGGATGCTTTAGTCCCATGATTCAGTTCCGGTTATTGTCGATGAATGGCGAGTGCTTCTTTGAACAGCAGATTTGACCAGTGCTTCGCCCTGTCTATGATGTTGCAGTTGTTCAGTAGGAAAACTGTTAGGTTAAATTGGTCAGTGTTGGGTTCGTCTATGTTCAGTTGTAATAGATTTGTGAATACTGATATGTAAATACTGATATGTTTTCAACTATTCGGAGCTATAATACAAATTGTTTTAAAAATACTGCAGTGAATAATTTCTAATTATAAAGGCCTGTGTTTTAGTTCTAATTTTAGACGCCAACATGCATGCAATTTGCTATTCCATAATTTCATATATATTGTTTAGCAAATGACATGTGAATTTTTCATAATGGTTTATATGGCTTGGTTCATTTCGAAATATATACTGTAGTAGCCTATACTGTTCTTACCACTTTCAGGAAAACCAAACACATTTTCCATGTATTCATCCCAAGTGATCTGGTTATCAAAATTAGCATCAATATCATGATATATTGCGTCAATGTCTTCGTGAACTGTCCAAGGTTGTAACTTGTGACGTATCCAAATTACTAATTCATCTTCATCCACAAAACTGTCTTTGTTTATATCAATACGAGGCACAAGCATTCTAAAATACACGAAGAAACGTCACATGCATGAGGACGACAATGAACTAAACAATGATACATCTTAATTAAAGTGATAGATTTGGAGTACATTTTGAAGATGTGCTCTGACTGTATTTCACGTGCATGAGATATCATATGGCTCACAATTTGGTTACATCTAATGCAAATTAACTTCGAATTAATTAACAAGTAATGCGTATTGCTTGCTGTAAGGTCATGAATGTTTTAGTTTCAGCTAATTTTGTCAATAGAAATACCTAAATTAACATAATTATCTTGCCCAGCGTATTACATTTGGTTTATTATTATACGACCGTCGTTAATGCGTGTGCGTTTTCATACAACAAGATCTTATTAAAAACAGCATCCTGAAACTACTGCATGGATTCTATATAAGTTGTGAATTCAATTCCATGAAACATTTCAAAATGAACAGACATGATTACCTAAAAACTGGACGGACTGACCTAATTCCTCTTAAAAGTGTTGTATGTGTATGTGCACATATAAGATCAAGGTGACAAACAGCTCTAATACTGTCAACGAAAAAACCGGTGGTTTTCCACACACTGTAGAAACGCATTGGTCAAAATAACCAATTTGAATTGGTTGTCTCAGATACATTTTCATTTGATCAGTAATATTTGGTCGAAGCAACCGATTGGTTATAAAACAACCCAAATAAGTGCATCTGAGACAACCAATTCACATCGGTTATATTAACCAATGCGTATGATTTGTTATTATAACCACAGTTTTTACAGTGCAGGCAACGTTGGCAGGAATTTTTACCTTGCATTGATTTAGAAGCAGATTTATGAACCTAGCTATATAGTTCAATGTCGATCATTTTCGGTTTGCAAGGAACTTTTATTACAGGTTTTTATTGATTTACTAACGTTATAACAATGAAATACGTTAGAATCTTACAATGAAACACGCTGGATTTGAGATTTTGATATAACACGAAATTTTCCGCCGAACTAGCAGAACTGATCATGCTGTATTTTAAAAGTTCTTTGTAGGTTTGCATGGCAATAAAAACATATTATTATAATACTATTGTTGTGGAAACACCACGTAAATTTATCACTGCAATTAAAGCTTTCGATCCGTATAAGCCCGGATCCTCATCCGCGTGCTAATAATAGTATTATATGACCATGCTGTATGTTGTCCGAACGAAGAGAAATATAATCAAGAACAAACTTACCGAAGTCTTCTAACAGATTCCTTCTGTGTCAATCCATAAAATTCACGAGCAGCTTCCTCGCCAAGGAAAGTCACGTGATCCTTGTGTAGATCATGGTTGTGGGAAGTTGATCGTTTAATTTTTTGAAAGTGTTTGCTTGCGATGACTAAGGTTATCGTTGTTGCAAATAATACAAAAGTGAACACTTTATAAGGGATCATCATTTATAAAGATTATACTCCACGAAAGGAACTTAAAATTTCCTGTCAGAGAAGAAATATAATAATCAAGTTCGTGTATAGTAAATGATATTGACACTGTCTATTAATAATTTATTTTATTGACGGTATATATATATATATATTATTTTATTGTCCATTGACATGCAATAAATATAATTTTGTTCGTAATATCTTTTGCATCACGATTCCAAGTTGATTCTGAATGTTTATTCAAATTATGACTGTGTAAAGAGCGTCTTCACTTCATCAACTACGGCTATTTTCCTATTACAGAATGTATTGTGCATCACGAACAGCTAAACAATTAACGTTTGGAATAAATTATCTCGGCTTCCTAAAAGTTCGACGTTTTAGTCATATAGCCATGAGGAAACAATCGACACATCACCCATATATACTTCCAGCATTGCTCATGCATGACATATATTATTGACAACATATATTCAAATGTATACAGTATACATATCTGTGTATCTTCGAAAGTGCATTATATGCATATCGAAATTGGTTTTCATTGCATTTATTTAACGCCTTAAATATATATGTTAAACCGAATAAAAAGACTTCTTTTCAAACATTTTAATTGATAAAAGGGAGCGATAAAAGATTTACATGACGTTGGTTGTCTGTTTTTTGGAATTTTTTGAAATACTTTTCATTAATTATATAAAGAACTAAAGCCTAGCTTAAATGGACAGTGCAGATTCTATTAAATCTAAATTGTTTAATTAGTCACATCATGCGTTATTACACCACAGCTTCATTCTTTATTCATAACGCGTTGAATTGATGTATTATAAAATATTTATAATCTGCTTTTATTGTATATAGTCACGGTTGACTATATATTTTTGGTTCGGGACAAATACGTACTGTCCAGCCTAGAGCATAGGCCACATGTACCTAAGGGACATGTTTTTACTTATAGCTATATATTCACTTGCAAATGATGGTATGATGACATCGAAACGTCGTGTAAATCTTTTATCGCTCATGTTTATATTAAAATTATATGATAACTTTAAAATTAACCATTCATATAGGCTCATTAGAACGTAAAATTTAAAATAAAACAATTTTGGTATGCCGTATAATATAGAGTTAGACCTTTCTATAATATATCTCCAGTTACATTGTCATTGTTGTTATTAATTAATGGAATCTAAACCGCATATTCATTTTAAAAAATAATTCAAAAGAGTAACTTCACAAATCAATCATGATTATTAGTACAGTCATCGACAATCTTTACTACTGTACGTTAATGGGCGTAAAGTTACACGTAGGCCACTATAGGCCTAGATTTTGCCAAGTTTCTGCGATAGATTTCCACTCGGATGAGTAATAAATTATATCGAATATAATGCTTTATGATTTATTACGCAAATAGGATTGACTTGAATCACACAATTAAACTTACAGCATACAGGCTAATAAAAAATATGAGCTAACCTATTCGGTTTACCTACCTGAATACAAAAGAGCTTGTTAATTCTAATTGAAGCTATCTTGCGTCTCCTATATTTACATGGATATAGGTCGCATAAATATGTCTGAGTTCAGCTTCCAACGCCTTGAATATTACTTTCACTAATATCTCATTGTGAGAAGACTTGTTTGCTGAGTCTCATATGCGAAATTAATCTTTGCAAAAGGCTAGAAAACAAATAATTTGTGAGCATCAACAGGTGTGTTGATTTTATATTAGCTATGTATGTTAATGATATAAAATCTGTGTTATTAATAGAGAGCTTTTGAGCTTGCTTATATTAAAAGCAACCGACGTTTTTGTCAACACGAACGTCAGATTGGCGAGGGAGAACTGGATTTAAAAATGCAATGTGTTTGTTTCAGTTTGTGGTACTTTTCAACACATATGGCAAAACATAAGATTTTTAAAGGTTTTTGCTCCTTGCACAAGCGCTATAGCATGCAAAATACCGCTGAAACCGTAAAATATGCACCGAAACCATATTTAAATATTCTCCCAGAATATTTGTTCATTTTAAAACCTATATAGGTATATATTGTGCAGTGAAATAACGCTAAAAATGTTCAAAATAAGGTTTTTAGCTTTTTGTATACAGTCGAACCCCTATTAAGCGGACACCTTCGGGACCTCGCCTAAGTGTCCGTTTAATAAAAGGGGTGTCCGCTTAAAAGGTATGTAGAAAAACGCAGCAGGAGGCAAAGGTGTGTAATTTGAGTATCAAAATTAAACAGTAAAAAATATCTAGCAAATAATTTGCATAAAATGAAAATGTGTTTGTGCATAAAAATTCATTAGAAAATGTATACGTCTCTCCCAGTCATATAAAAAAGGAATCAATACAAGTTTACTTTCGAGGCTCCCACAGATAATGGTATAATGTCATTTACATAAAAATGACGTTGGAAAGTTCTTCCAAACTACGAAATTGTGCAAATTCTGTCAGCCGCTCGACAACTTTAAGGGCTTAGGAGAAAGGTTTAATGACTGGTTCGTTATAAGAGATCAGTCAAATTCATCATCTTCGTTCAGGTCGTTGTCATCATCAGTGATCTGACACATATCTTTCGGCTGCTTGGCTGGCGGCTCACAGTCCTCCGTCCTCGTTCGTCACTTCCTCAATTGGTGTGTCACTGTCAATGTGCCATGTAAATTGATTTCAATTGTTATTTACTGTCGAATATTGAATACATTTTATCAGACAGTCTGTCATCTGTCCGCTTAAGAGAGGTTGGTTTGCCCATTGGGACCTCAAGTAAGGTGTCCGCGTCCGTTAAAGAGGGGTGTCCGCTTAATAGGGGTTATGATAATAGTATTTTATTAAAGAAAACGAATGGGACCTGAGATATGTGTCCGCTTAAAAGAGGTGTCCGCTTAAGAGAGGTGTCCGCTTATAAGGGTTCGACTGTACAAATTTCTTCCATTTTTGATTGATTTAGGATTTAAACTGAACATACTCTGTCAGCACAAATTATAGAAAAATAGCAAAAACGTAATGAAATTTGGGTCAAAATCAAGATAACTTGGCGATTAATTAAACAATATTTTCACAGATAAAATGAGAAAATTCCGCAAAATATTGCAAATTTAAGTTTGATATTGTTCAAACTTTTTTGGAACTCGTTTTTTACACCAAGAATATATAAAAGTGTCATGTGACAAAAGATAAACTAATCAGATGGATTTGGTCAAAATTAAGTATAAACAAAAAATGTAAATCACATTATATAATATACGGTTTAGAGAGAAGTGGAGGCCCACGGCGACGATTTAGAGAGAAGTGGAGATGTACTAGCAGGAAGAAAAAAGCGCGGAATCCTATTTAAAAATTTGGCGCTCGACGAAAAGTAGAAGTCAATCCTACGTTTCGTCGAGCGCTAGACGATCGCTCTTCGAACATTTTTTCCAATTGGCAATTGCGCATGTGTCGTCGCGAACTGTTTTGACGATAGTACGTCTCAAAAATCGTGTAGTGGACATCCGCCTTTGATCGAAACGTCGACGTTTTGCTTCTATTTTTCGGCTAGTTCCTCGGGTAGAGGAGAACTGATCACATGAGATCGGCTAGTTGTGTTGTTTGTAGCGACAGATATAACCCAATCCCTATCTCTAAGCCTAATCCTTAATCTAACCCTTACCCTAACCTCAACACTAATCACTATAACTAACTGATGACGTAATCTGTGATGCAAATTCTTCTATCCGAGGAAGTACCCTATTTTTCAGGTAGCTGCATCTCTCGCAATCCCCAGTTATCCTTTTATGATCTCTACCTACACTGGCACAGATTGTTTGTGATTTTACCATGATCTACAGGGTGTCCCAAAACACCCCAAAACTATTGAAATAACGTAGGCCTATTGTTAGAATTTGAATGCCATAGCTAGCACTAAGCTGAACGCATAGATGCGTAAAATATTGACAGGTTGCATATAATTATTTTAAATATTGACTTATTAAGGCCTGTTTCAAACGTCCCGCTTCATGCGCCGAACGATTAAAAACAATAGATGAGACATTTCAGCTGATTATCTATTGTTTTAAATGCGTTCGGCACATGAGAAGCGAGACGTTTAAAACAGGCCTAAGAAATTAAAATATCTTTGTAAAGCGTACGATTTCCATGCTCTTGGCCTTGGAAATTTAAAGCAGCTTCTTAAACAGCTTCTTTATGCATAAACAATATAAAATTTACTTATGTCAAGCTTTTATGCACTTGTGGGTTCAGCAGAGTGCTGAGGGATTTTGGGGACACCCTGTATATATAAAATTGTTACCTGACTGAAACGTTGCAAGGAAATAACCAAGACCATTCAACGGCTTTTGTTAACTACGCTGTGAATGTTTTCTTCGTTTTCTGCAAACCATAGCTCTTGAACAACGCCCTGTACATACGAGAGAATATAATATTTTGTTTACTGCCCGTGTCCACCACAATCTTAATATATAGCTTAAGATCTACGACGTCGACGTCAGCTAGGACGTCAGGGCTAAGCAGAGGACTGGGACTACATTAGGACGACATCCTAGTCCCAGTCCTCTGCATAGCCCTGACGTCCTAGCTGACGTCGACGTCGTAGATCTTAAGCTATCTAATATTCTGCCATTGACCGATACTCAAACGGACCCATCTCTCGTGTTCAAACGAAGGACTGGTTCGAAATCATCCTCAGACGTAGATTGTTCGTCTAAACGACCTCCTGACACAGCCTGAATCTTGGAATTCAACTTTCAATTTTTTCATATTAGATTTTGATCGAACATAATTTTGATGCTGTTTTGTAGAACAGGAAACACGCGGTGGTGGTCCAAAGGCGATTCAATTAGCTATTCAAGACAAAAGGGTCATGTTTTATTATTAACTGAACTTTTTGAGTGGCTGAAGCAAGACAGTGCAGCAAAGTTGCTCGCTGGACTTCGTCCTGACTCAGGTCGGTAAACAAATCATGCAGGAGAATTTGTGTTGCATTTTGTGGGTGGATTGAGTCTACTACTGCCACGATTCGTCCTGGGTTTCCTTAGATCATTCTGCCGTATAACAGTATAATACAAAATGGTCAACTTTAGAACTCTCCTGTTATAAAATTAGAAATAAAAATTAGAAAATTTAAAAGAAATACAGTATTTTTTAAAAATTTTCTATTTTTTTGTCCCATGAGTACAAGACCTTGTGTTCTTACCCAATCATTAATTCAAAGCGATTAGAGCTGTCAAATTACTACAATACGTTATAGCTAATTTGAATTTGAAAGGTTCAGTTTCTTTTATACACACTGTACACGGTGTCCCAAAAACCTCCAAACTATTGAAATAAGTTAAATAACGTATTGTTAGAATTTGAATGCCCTGGCATATTAAGCTGAAGGCAAAGATGCGTAAAATATTGACCGGGTGCATACTGTATAAGATAACAACTGAGTGGGAGGTCTTTCGTTGAAATTATTTTCTTGAATTTCAATCGAAGACTAACCACGAGTTGTAATGTTGTAATCACGTCTATTTTCTATTGTTTTCAAGAGGTTTTTGCTTTTTGGATAAGTTTCTCTTTGTGTTTTTGACAAAGTGAACGGTCCTAAATCAACGAAATAATTATAAGGACAAATAGGCAGTGAAATTGTTTGAGAAATGACGACAGCAAAGAAATAAAGCCCGAGTCTGTAATGTTGGCAAAGTGATTGTCTTGCGGGTCTGAACATTATACAAAATTGATTAGAACTTATCTTTGACGAAGAATTATATCGAACGTTAGCTTTGTTTGTTTGTTTGCTTGTGAAGCACGAAAAGCCGATGAAAGCAGATATCCGCCAAACACCTCATAGATTGATAGATGGATTGATTCGGAAGAGAAAAATGGAAAACAATGGATGCATATTCTAGTACTGGTCTAATACATGTTACAAAATTTTGACAAAAACACATGCATTTCAGAAAGGGCAAACGTTCTGAACTAGATCCAATAAAAACGCAATCTAAAGATTGGAAAATTTTGGTACAAGCCATACCCCACTTACGGTTTTGGACCAGTGGTTTCGACTGATTTTTCGAAAATTCAAATCTCATGTCAAAACTATTGTTGCGTTTCGGAAGCAAAAAAACAGCCGGCGCTCAGAAAGGCTCCTCGATCAGCCAATCAGATTACTTCATTTTCTCTGATTAAAAACAAACTGATTTATTAATAATACATTTTGTTAACTAGGGATCTTATAATAAAAGCACGAAAGGGTTTCGTAAACACCCTAGCCCTGATAGCCTGCGAACAGGCTCTCAAGGTGAAATGATAGCCTGCGCTGATGATATACAATTTTGAATATCAGCCCCATAACGTTCGTTTTTCCAAATATGGAATGTCTATCCTTATATGGTGGTGTTTACAACTTTCGTGCAAACTAAATTTAGATCGTGCAAACTAAATTTAGACCGTACAGTTTATACTGTTTTTCGAAATATAAAATATTCAAGCAAAAGTTTAAATGTTTAAATTTTTAAATACTGTTTTCTCAAAACAGAACATTTCGTGCTTTGAGATAAGATGGCCAAGACCAATTTGATCAGTTAATGTATTTTTTATGCATAGTGCTTCAGCAGTTGACATATATAGAGCTCAGCGGAAACATATAAATTATAGCATCTGACCAATGAGAATTTCGCGTCACGATTTGAGACGCAGATATTCAAATTCACTGATATTTCAAACAATTGTAAACAATTCTACATCATGCATATAGACTATCCTTAGTGTGTAATACGGGCAAAAAAGATAAATAAATAAAAAATAATAATTTAGCTTGCGGGGAAGTTCCGCGGGGAATGACCATCTGCCACGCAGGGCCGCAGGCTAGTGATAAATTAGATGTAAGGAAAACTATGAAACAGCTTTCGATCAAAGTAACTTCAATATCAAAATTGAATACACTCCTAACAAAACTCCCAACCCAAACCACCACAAAACATTGTCAGAGACTTTTACGACTTGTTCATATGTAAACACCGTTCCGGAAACAAAAGACGTTCATAAGATCTTTAAACGCAATCAGCTTAGCTCAGCAGGGCAGCGCAAGCCCTATTTTATTGGGGTCGGGACGAAGGGGGGAGGGGGGTGTTAGTAACATTTTGCACAGTCATCTCCCGTACGTATTGCAATTTTCTTTACCATAAAACTATCCCTCCCACCCACCTTCCCCTCTAGCGACGCCCCAGTAGCTCAGTGCATGCAATGCTATTATAATTTACCTGAAAATCAGCTTAAATTCCTAGAAATTTTCCTGAAATTAGTCACGAACAAATATTGGGGGTAGGGACCTATACACCTCCTACACCCTCCAGGTCGCTATACGTCCATGCGGGCGGGAAACGTTTAATTTGAAGTGGCCTTACTGAAACGTCGAAAACGTTCACTACCACAGTATATTAAGTATATCTATTTGTGTGTTATGGGATATAAATGTACGTTAAAATATTTAAAACTTATCCATACTGGATCGTAAGCTGATGTAAGACGTTCCCTAATTAATGTCTATGGAATTTACCCATAATATTACAAGTTTTGAAAATGGAAAAAATTATCTTAAATGTTTACAATGTTTAAATGTTCGTGCTATTATTGTATTATTCGTATTATTATTATTATATTATACTCTTGCTTATTATTCGGTTTTGCTTATCAGTTTTAAATGCGTATAAAATGACGTGATTGCTCTATCAGATTGTGTAAGTCATACTAGGATGAGAACATGAAACTTAATATTTCGACAAGTATAGCAGGAAGGCGCCCATGAGCATAAGGAAGTTTGCAACCAATCGATAGCTTCCAGAGGTATGGCATCCAGGACCTAAAACAAGACAAAACAAAACAAATGATAATGTAAATTGTTTAGAAAACGACTTGATAAGGCAGATCAGAACTTTTTCATACAGTTATAGTATCGGATTAAGACTAAGTCAACACCTTTTTAATCAATAGACATTACTGTTTATTGCACTTTTGCGGCCTCGTTTTCATGTTTGTTTTCTTGACATTCCCCATGTTTCGTGAACAAATATTTGAGGAACTCAGGGGCCTATACAATCAAAAGTCTACCTTACACTTGTTGTGTACAAAACACGAGGAAATAACCATTGTGGCAAGATTGCAATAAACAGTGTAGTCTATTAGGGCAACTGTACACACGAATGACACGATGAAATGGCTGAAATGGCTATGATAGATCTATAATAGAAGTGATGTTCTAAATCTCTTATACCCTAAACGTCTACCACGTTTACAAAACTGCTCCTGTTCCGACCGTGGCTCTTACACAACCTAAGCAGACATTTATAGCAGATATTCTAATGAAGGAACAGTTTCCGATTTTTGGCTTGATGATCGGAAAAGTTTCTAATTATAATCGCTATTCAAGTTATATCTTAATAAATAATGTGTGTCAATTCATCATTACAATTTTTCTTTATTTCTTTCTTTTTTTAGCGGATTATACTATTTATTCTTGTATATAGTTATTTTTGTATTAATAAAATATTCTGTATTCTGTATATAAGATATCTTAAGGCGTGCTTAAGAAACGTTTTCGCCGAGTTCTGGTTCAACGAAAACAAACAGCGCTGTTCACTAGATAATGAAGCTTGAAACTTTCTCCATATCATCGTATAGTTTTACAGCCGGCATTTAACAAATGCTGAAAATATCTCTATGCGGTAGATTGCGCTAACCTTAAAAACTCATTAATAATTCATGAGCAAAACACAAAGGAAATCACTATACCGTGTCGGTGGTTTTATGAACTCACAAGATGGGTCTTTTTTCTAAGCCATTTACAACACTGGTCTCGTAGTCCGTGCTTTATCAGATATAAGACACTCGGCTGTCGCCTCGTGTTTTACTGTATATCTGATAAAGCACTCGACCTGCTCGTGTATTTAACAGTACTTCATACATCTCATCATACATCCGTTGAAGCTTGGACTGGTGTCCGTGGTAGAAAATTATTATGTTGGCATCTTCACTTACCCTCACAGCTTTCTTGAGGCCAGGGATCAGGATCAACGGGATCATCATTCTTAACATTTTCAACAGCAGTTTGTTGTTCGGCAGATAGAAATCCAACACTTGCTTCACTGATCATATTTAATTGAGTCGAGTCCATTGACCTGAATTGGTCTGCGCTAAAAGCCTAATGTGGTATACGATAGGAGGTAGTACTTTATTTAATATGTTTAATTAATCAGCTACTGGAATGCAAATTCAAATATTATGCTTTTGCATGATGTCACTATTTTGTCACTACAAAAGTGACTGGATACTAAGGTGTTTCTCTCCGGAGAAACAGGTCTTACCTTAAGATGTTCCACATCAAAATCTTGGATTGTCTCTGGCTTAATGGCGTCAACAACCGAGCGCTGCAACTTACCGAGGTCTGACGGTTTTAAACCACCTAACAAATAGAAGAACAAAAAAGGTTAATGTTATGATGGAGCAGAAACAACTTACATATCACTAACTATATAACCAACCAACTGCAACAGTTAACTATGAGAAACAACCATCTAATTTCCAAACTTCCAAACAAACTTAGTACCCTTCACCATACTATGGCTTTTCTTTCCATCACTATAATTCTTGCATGATTATTATAATCAGTTTCTGCTTACTTTTTAAGGTAGTAATATAACCATTCAGCACATCATTTTCACATTGGTACTACTCACACTGGTACAGACAGTTTTAGTATATATATATATATCACACAAGAAACTATTAGCCTACCATTACTCGATTAAACCAAACAAAACCACAATTTTAGCATAAAAATATTTCCAAACCATATATGCTCAGAATAACCATGAAAGCTAAAAATTGTGAAGCATTGTACCATATACGAAAAATAGGTACGTTAAGGCGTACATACATGTACACGTGTACTGGCATTGTATAACTTAGCTATAACATAGGATTTATATAAAAATATTGCACAACATGAAAGGCTATTATTTGTCACACAAAATTGTATAATTATGTTCCTGCTGGGATATATCAGCTACTGATTTAGTTGTATTCGTGACACCTATGTAAGTTCGATTTCCGAATATAGCCAACAAATGCAAACATACTCAAACTTGCCTTTTTAGCATTTTCTCTGAAGCAGATGTGGTCTTGTAAGCATGTCAACATATTTCATACAGTTGGCAGATACCAACTATAGGTGACTGGTATACAACTGCATTATGCACTCTATTTTAGGAACCCGTCAGTCCCTAATATGGATTTCGAGACCATTTTTTAAAGATTAAAAAAAACGGAGCAGCTTTGACTGAACAAATTTCAAATAAGCTCGATATAACCAAGTTCGATACTTACGAATTATTTTTCCAATCTCGCTGACTTGCGCCTTTTCCCAAATGTTGGTAGAACCCCAGAATATCTTTGCTTTCTCAGCTAAAGCATCGAGCTGATCCTGAGTCCAGTCATCAATTTCCGCGAGCAGTTTAACAGAAAATCTATATAAAATAATGGTTTAAACTACATTAAACAAAACTATAATTAGATCACAGCAATTATTGTAACTCTCTAATTTGTTGTTTTTCGTAAATCATTACCT